AGTCTACAGTAGCTATAGGGGCTAATTGTCTCATTAATGGCTCGGAATGTGTAAGTTCTCAAGTGGCTTATAAGAACGCGTCTCAGCGCTGTAAGAGGAGAAGGAGTTACCTTAAAGAGTCAGTTTTGTAGAGGATTGGATAGAGTTGACCCAGAGTGACAGTATACAGTGTGAGACTCTCCTGGAGTGTTGGGTCCTGCAGAGGTTCAGCTGATCCGACTTAGCCAACAGCTGACTGAGGGCAGTTCTGAAGCTTTCAGTCTGGCACATGGCTGATACCAGTCTCGAATCGCACTCCCATTTGATGACGTGAGAGTCGAGACCAGGTGTAAAAAGGTGCCTCGGACAGAAAACTCAATTATATCAAAACAGGAAAGACGGACCAGGGCAGGCGAAGGGCGTGGTGACTCGGATGGATATTGGGGACCGCCTGATTGAATAACGCTGCATAGTTCACGATAACAACTTCTCCGTAAGGAGCACGTTAGATCTACAAGATCCGTTACTGTCATTCGGTAAAAAAATGATATACTGTACTCACAAACAAAATGAAACACGACTTTTAACATTTGTGTTACGGAGAAGAGACACGGATCCCGTGCGCAAGTCCAGGTACGTGTTGTTTAAATCTTCTTCTGTAAATCGCCTGGGACGTTTATTTGAGGTTATTGCCCCCTTCCTACCCAGTGTTGTTTATTTTATATTAAGATCAGGCCGTATATATTCTCAATCGCGGTCGACATTTGAGGAAAGGATTGGAACCGTTCTGTCTGTTCGGCTGTAATTCTTCTGCCCAGCAGCTTGTTAACGTTTCACCAGCGCCAAAGTGAAACGATCCCAGATCCATCCCGTTTCTAACAGCTTCATCCCGAGTCACGTGGAAGCAGCAGCCTGTTCCAGCGAGCACCAGACACGAGGCAGGGTGCAGCCTGGACAGGACAGGAGTCCAGCGCAGGGTGGATACAGGCGGGCACAGACACATTCTCCCCAGGGCCGGTTTTCACAGAAGCCACTGAATCTGTCTTTGAACATACAGTACCATCTCCACACAGACAGCACCCCCGGAGTTGAGGCCAAGTCCCCAGAGGTTTCAGTGCTGAATGCTGCGCTACAGTGCTGCCCATCTTTGAGTGTCTCATGTTCTAATCTGTTGCAGAGTGCTGCCCTTGATCCCCAAAACAGAGTTTCTTATGCAAGACTTTCTTAGTCTGTAACGTGAGTAGAATTGCGTTCGATTATCCAGATGTGCTTAGTCTGTATTGTCTGCAGCGATGTGGCACGTCCTTGTTTGCACTGCGAGGGTCTGTGGATGACCGTGATGACGGTGTCAGTGTGGAGGAGAGGTCAGAGCTCTGGACTGGTGGGGTCGGTTCCCTTGGGGTCACTGGGGACCCTGCGGTTGTACCCCTGAGCAAGTTACTTCACTCGGATTGCCCTGGTAGCACCCAGGAGTGTAAATGGGTGTGTAAATCTAAATCAGTTTAGATAAAAGCATCAGCCAAATATGTGGACGCTAATAAAACTTAAAAAAACATGCCTTCATATTTTAGCAGATGTTGAACAGTTTTTTTTTGTCAAAACTGACCTACAGAGGTCTCTCCTCTAAGGGAGGGCAGCATACTTTGATTTTGAGCCAAGACTTCAAGTGCCACAAGACAGTGGGGAAAACTTTTATTTGTCCTTTGCCTCGAGCACAGCCAGGTCCTAATTCAAATCCAGTCATCAAGCTTCACCGCCTGGATTGTTTTCGAAATGGCTCAACCTGGAACTTTTAAACTGGGACTAATCCATAGAGAACTTCCAGAACACGATGGGTATCCGAATGCGTGCCTTTGTCCAGCACCTCGCCGCTCTGTGAGAGCAGTGCGATCGTTGGCCCAGACCCTGGCCTTTGCCCAAGCAGTCACTGTGATGTGCTGTGTTGCAAACTGTTGATACTGTTGGAGCTGAAGACAGGTTTTGTGTATCCTGCCGTATCGTATTACAAACAGCCTTCAGTTTCTCTGCCCTGTCAACACGTCTTCACCTTAATTGCACACATGACTTGGTTTGATTCGTCAATCTGTTTGCGGGCTTATTTATAACCAGTGCATTTGTCTTTGTGATGTTTACTGATCTCAAAGTCTTTTCTGGTGAAATGAAAATATAAGCGTGTCACCACAGAAAACAGGGTAACAGGGAAACCTGCTTCAGGACTGAACGGGAGACTCTTCTCTACACAAAGGGGCAGCGGGTGTGTGGAGCAAACTGGGGGGGCCGAGTCACAGGGGACCCGTTCAAATGGGGTTTGATGAGGTTCTGGGATCCAAGAGCTGCTTACAACATGAGAGAAATAAACAGAATGCCCGTCTCATGTTTTTAAGTGTTTGAGTTTTCTGTTACTTAGGGAACACGTCTTTGCCTATGTTGTGCACAGGGGGACAATGGGAATGAGACATCTAATCACTCCTTGTAATCTTAGCCCAAACATTGTGGAATCGTCCACTCTGCACTAATCAGAGTTGGAATGTCCCCTAGGAGTTGCACAAGAAGGTGATCCTTAACCGCTCCACAAAAACAGAACGCCAGCTGTCTCCCAAGACGGCAGCATTTCTCTTTTGTACAGAACAAGCAAATGGGCTGGACATTTGACACTGCCCTCTGCTGGCGGGCACTCCATGGGGGAGGGAAACGGCTCCGGCCTCGGGCTGGGCTGGCGTCCAGTCCAGGGTGTCTGTGTGTGCCCTGTGATGGACAGGACGCCAGCCCATCACAGGGCACACACAGACACTGACACCCTAGACTGGACGCCAGCCCATCACAGGACACACACAGACACTGACACCTCAGCTGGTTCTAGTGCCACCTCAACCCCGATCTTTCCCAATAGTCATGAAAGTTGCGGAAAGTACAATGAAAGGGTGTGATGACGTTATTTTACGTGATCATTTTTAGTAATATTAAATCAATCAGCTTTCTTCCTCCCTCGTCGTTTCCTATTCTGTATAAATCCATCTTTTGAACAGAGCTTCAAGAGACATGAGCTGGACTACAGCAAGTCTCCACAGGTCTGTGGCCTTTCGATCTCCTTGTCCTGGAGATCTTCACTTGCAGCAGGGAAGCAAGGTCAATGTGGATGTGATCAAGGGCTGTGATTTACGATTGGGCCACAATGTCTTTACTCGAAGAGTGGTGGGTGTCTTGAACAGGCTTCCCAGCCATGTGGTTGAAGCACGTGGGTGTGAAGGAGTGTGCTGGTAACCATGCACCACGGTTGTGCCCTTTGCATAGGAAACAAAGGATTCGTAGTTTATAAAACCTCGAGCCGCGGCTCTCTGGAGCATCTACTGCGGCCTCACGTGTACTATAGGAAATTGAGCCCCCCAGCGTGGCCCGAGAGGCTTTGTCGATTGGCTGTGCATATTTGTCTGTGTTGTCATCGACTTTTGTCAGATTCGGTGCCAAATCAAATGGGGTCAGACTTCAGCATTTTCTTACATCACAGGAATGCCTTTCAGCGCAGCGGTGAGATCGCCTCGGCTGTTGCCGGGCTCAGCCCTGGTGATTTTCCATTGCAGGGAGTCTGTATTAATAGGCCCGCGGTCCCAGAGCAGATGTTCCCGACAAATGCGTCCGGTCTCTCGGCGTCCCGCGCGAGCTGTTGTGTGATGGCATTGTTTGCTGGGCCGCAGCGTGACAATGCCAGGCTGTGTGAGGGAAAGGAGAAGAATCCAGTCTGTTCATGAGCTCAGCCCTCCTGGGCCTCGTTCATTAACCCGTCTCCGCGAGTCCTAGTGACCTCAACGTGCAAACTTCTCGCACGTTCCTCGCACGGCGCAAAACCCCTGATTTACCCAACTGTGGCAGTAAACAGAGCACAGCTGTACCACTCTTGTGTTTCCCTCCTCTCTTAAGAGGAAGCGATATTTCATGCTAAGATGGTGGTGGTGGTGGAGGGGAGTCCCCATTACCTGTAAAGCATGGATGGCCCGTCTGCTCGGTGCGGCTGGAGACCGGGTGATTCTGTCCGATTTGCCCATAATCCGGCCGTGTATTACAAGAGATTAGGGAACAGGTAAAAGGTTTGTTCCACGCTGCAAAGAGCAGAAAGGAAACACAACGTTTCGTGGAGCCTTCGTCGGATGTGAACCACAGCCGAAACGTTGTGTTTTCTTTCTTCTCTGTGCAGCCTGGAATAAACCTTTACTCGTCCCCTTGCAGCCTGCGCATACTGACACAGCCACCTACTTGAATTACGAGAGATTATTCTAAAAGTCCTTTCCCGTGTACTGCAGAGGTCCCGGGGCTGAGTTGATGTCCTGCAGGCTGGTACAGTGTAACAGCAACTGAAACCAGAACCACAGTGTGTTCAACAGAACCCATCTGACAGCTGAAAGCAGGGTCTTCGATCTCGTTGTCCGGCCTGGCGGTCATTTTGAAAACAATGCAAATCATGTTTCCGTTTCATAGTGCGATTCGTGTGGAGGGCGAGCCCTGATTCCACCCCTATCGGTATTATTGCGACAGGTGTGCACCCAGCCCGCCAGCCAGCCAGTTGTTCTATAAAGAGGTTTTCCGTTATCATTTTGCCATTAAAGATTTAACAGTTTTCAATTCAGGGTTGTATTTAGAAATACGAATTTAAACTTTCTCACGGAACTGTTCATTTCTTTGTTCTCCATTGATAATTTCGCGTGTGTTTATTTAACAAAATAATAATGTCACTTTTTCGTTACCCAGTCTACTGCTATAAAGGGTTTGTAACGTTTGGGAATAATAAATGGAGAATATTTTGATTTCGTTTACCTTCTCAAAGGTGACAAACAGGCTAAACTCTCCTCAACTAGAAGGTCTAAATACAATGTTTTCTCTGGGATTTTCACAGAAACACAATATTGTTTCTCAGAGTAAATACCTTTCCGTGTAAAAGAAGGAAAACTACCAAGTGTCAGTTTTACATTGTACAGTATATTCCGTTGAGTTTCATGACCTCATGGCCTCCTAATAACCCCCCTCTCTGAACTGGCTTCATCACTCTGCTCTCCTCCCCACTGAGAGCTGGTGTGTGGTGATGCTGGCGCATCATCCAGGTGGGGCTGCGCACTGGTGGTGGTGAAGGGGATCCCCATGACCTGTAAAGCACTTTGAGTGGTGTCCAGAAAAGCGCTATATAAGAGTAAGCAATTATTGTGATTAGTTTAGTAAATTAGCAATCTGGATTTAAGTATGTATTGCTATGAATATTGTATTTGTTCACAGCCTCGAATTGGTTCAAGTAATTTAGTGAATCAAACAAACCTTTTGAATCGATTCACTGAAAAGAATCGAGCTGTCCCTTCCCCCCACCCTCTCGAGCGCTCATGTCCAGGGCTCGTCGGGCATCGCCGGTGGGGGGAAACGTCCTGGATCACCAGGAAGAAGAGGAGACGGGGTCCATCTTCCATCTCTGGTGTCCGTTTGGCCCTCTGCTCCGGGAGTTAAACAATAGTTTAACTTTATTTTAAATAGCGCCTTCAAAAGTAGCTTCTCGAAGCGCTTTACAATAAGGAGGAGATAGGATACAAAACGTACAATAAATCAGAAGGGTTTGAGTGCGGTAGAAGACACAGAGCTCAAGTACAAGCCCTTCTGGAGGAGGAGGTCTTGAGTGTGGATTTGAAGCGCTCAGGAAGGAGACTCTCTGACATCCCTTGGGGGTGGAAGTACAGGGTGGAGCAGACAAGACCCTGTTAGCTACAGTATGTGATGATTGGTGTGCCTTGTTTTCAAAACCGTGACCGATCAACTGGGCGGAGGGGTGGCTCTGTGGCTCAGGATCTGCGCCTGTGGCTGGGAGGTTGCCCGTTCAAATCCCACAGCCAGCGGAGGACTCCTACTCTGTTGGGCCCTTGAGCAAGGCCCTTCACCCTAACTGCTCCAGGGGTGCTGTATAAATGAGCCTGACCCCCAGCTTCTCTCCCTGCCCGTGTGTCTCATGGAGAGCAAGCTGGGGTATGGGAAAAGACAAATTCCTAATGCAGGAAATTGTATAGGGCTGATAAAGTGATCTGATCTTATCTTAACCTACTGTATCTTTCACACACCGTCGCGCAGGGACGTGGGGTGTGCTGGCACCTGGCAAATTACGGGCGTGATTGATGGAGTGCAATGCGACCTGTTTTCTGTTTACAGTGGAGTTTTCTTTCCTCGCTTGGCCGAGCAGACGCCGTCGGATTCACGGCAGCTGGGCGACACTTTCAGAGTCGGGCTGGAGCTGCGAGCCGCGCTTCTTCCCAGCCTGGAGGGGGGCGCGGATTCCTGCTGGGCCGAGTACAACATTCTTAGGAAGAGCGTGACGCGGTCTCGGTTCAGAGAGCAAATTTGATCTTGTTATCCGCCGCTGCGCTGTAAATTAATACGCCCTCTCGCCTTTTCGTGAGGCTGAAGGCATTAGAACGTGCTTAAAGACTCACCGGGCTTGTCAGCTGCGATAACAGAGTGGCAGACCTCTCTATAAAACAAGCACACTGTGCAGGAGGGGACCGCAGAAGCAAAAGGGTATATCTGACTAACTCGCGCAGAAGGAAAAGAGTTTTTCAAAGCTCATTTGATTTCTACACGAACGATTAATATAACGGAGGTGTGTGAAACTGAGTTATGGCCCGTGCAGAAACGCATACAACGACCGTAAGAACTTATCACCCTGGTATTTTGCACCAGCAAATGAGTGCAAAATAATTAAATTCACTGTTACCAAGCAAATGTTACATTGCATTGACTTGAAAAGACACAGAAACATTAAGAGATTTATTTAAATATATATAAATAGATAATAGAAAGATATTCAATAAAATGCACAGTTCTCTCACCAAACATCACATTTAATCAATCTTCCCTTGACACTCCTCATAACTATGGGCTCAGCTTCCGCCCGAGTGCCGTGTTTGAGCCTGCTCTGCTTTGTGCTGCGTGTTCTACCCCCCATTCAAATTTCCTTTGTAAATATAACGTATTTTGTCCAAGTGTGAAAGGGGGGGAGACGGCTTTTTATTTCGCGTAAATCGTTCTGTTCTCTGAAACGTATTGACCAGTATGACCATGCCAATGGCGAATGAAACGGTTGCTAATTTGACAGGAGCGGTCTGTGAGGCTGTAGCTTAATATTCCGCTCCGCGGGATGTCGCCAGATTCCTAGAACTGACAATATGGAAGGCCTGCCGGTCACGGAAGCTAGCCTCCAACACCGAAACTGTTAAGTCCCGGGGCACTGCAGCACACTGAAGCCTGTCTTGGCTGAAATTCGACTCGGGTTCAAGTATGGCCTGCAGCCGCTGGGCTGCGGGAGGGCAGCCCGGCTGGGCAGCAGTCCAGACCGTGCCCCCGGCGCGCACTCGCTGCGCCCCCGACCCTCAGACGCGGGGTGTCCGTCAGCACAGCGCCAGGTGCCCCCGGGCCGCTCGCGCAGCGCCGCGCCGCTTTCGGAACGGAAACCCGAGCCGCGCGGCAGGGGGCGGTCAGGCGCGGACGTCTTCATCTGTCGAGGCGGCGGGTCCCGGCGCGCCCACCGCCGCCACGGATATATCTGCCGGCAGAGCCGTGGGGAAAGTGTCGCGTTTTGCCGAGAGGTGTCAACAGGGATAGCGCAGCCACCAGACCGCAGATTCGCTCAGGGGGTGCTCGGACTGCAGACGGGCAATCTGAAGACGCGGAATTATCTGCCTTTTGACCTGCACGCTTCTGGTAGAAAGACGCCGCTTTAACCTCAAATATCCAGAATCCGTGTCTGTCGCGAAAGAGCCGGCTGGCGCACGAGTTTAGAAAACGACAGTTTCGAAAGCAGCAGCTCTCAGGCTGTCGAGAAATAAGTGGCCCATTCATCTGGTATTTTAAAAACACCCTTGCCCAGGTCTGCTATTTATACCCGTTATAAAACAGTGGAAACACCTGTTGGCCTCGCAGAACTGACAAGATAATCCTCTTAAGTGGAGCATAGTAGCTCTGGGTTTTGTTGTAACGCTGACAGACAGATGTTGACGCCCTAATTGGACTCGGGCTTGTTTTGGTGACAACGGTATCCCCAGCGCTGCCTCTGCCCACCCCCCTCGTTTAAAAGCTGATCGGAGAAACAGCTGTGCTGCTTTTGCAGATGAAAGGAGGGCGTGCACCCCCCCGTGCTCCCGGGAGGAGGGCTTAAGCCGTTTAAAGTTTCTTGGTTGCAATGGTTGTGCTGGGATCCGCGGTGTGGGCTTGAGCGGGCCGCAGTCATAAGGTTTTTAAAGGGCTCGACCCTGGAGAGCGCCTGGTCTCGGTGGCAGCCTGGTGACTGTCGTCCGTCGGCTCCCGGTGTTGACGCGCAGGAATCGTGTGGCTGAGGGCTCGCGGCGTGGGAGGGAATCTCGCTGTGGCTGCACCGGTTTATTGTAACCAAGACTGTGCTGATTCAATATCTTACTCCATGAACGACTAAACCTCTCAATTTGAACCTCAGAGAGGATCAAAAGAAGCGAGGTTTGAGTGTGAATATATACCTCCTTTGTTGCAGTCTCAGGGAATAGTCGCTCAGCACATTTTCCTTATCTGAAGGGCCAATATAAAAACCACTAACACAGAAAAGAAGCGTGCTTACACTACACAGCCTCAAACTACAAGACAATGCATCGGAGTCTGGAAAACTGCCCTACTGTACAGAGCCCTCCAGAAGCACAGCCCCAGCTAGGCTCTGCTTTTCAGTCAAGCAGTTTGTACAGTATTTGTGATCAAGTTATAGATTTGAGCGATGAGAACAGTTCTTTATTTTTGAGTAATCCCACGCACGCGTTCCATCGTATTGGAGCAAAAACAGCAGCTGTGTTTGACCCAGTCGTTTCAAGTGGCCGTAAGTGAATTGGGACGCATTCACTCGGGGTACGTTTTAGAGTGTAAAAGGTAGTAACTGAGGCAGGTTATTGCTCACTGAGCTGCCCAAACTCTTTCTATAATTATTTGAGAGGCTTTGCTGAAGCCATAGAAATGTCATTCTTGTCTATTTTGAGGACAAGTAAAATATCAACAAGTAAAATACACACATCGACTACATTTAAACAGACAGTAGGCTGTATTTTATAGTAGAAATATATATACAGTATACACACTTTATGTCAATCTGTATTTCATAGCAGAAATATTTATAAACACACTTGATGTCAATCTGGGAAAAGCGTCAAGCCTGTTTTGTGGGAGTGTATGCAAATGTATCAAACAGTTATAACTTCCCCGAAAGAGTAGCGCTATACGATCAGCCACACACACTCGTCACAATCTAATATGGAGGCAAAGCCACTCGGAAGAGCGATCCCCGATATCTACAGGAAATGCTTCAGTTCAAGGTCCCGGCACTTCCTAAGGAGAACCCTGCTGACGCTGTGCCTCCTGACGTTCTCCTCGGTCCCGAGGTTTTTCCTGCAGGGATTCTGAAAACCCCCAGTTGAAGCCTCTGGGGGGGCTGGGGGTGGAGTTAGAGTCCCGCCGCAGTCCGGCTCCGGTGT